CTCTATCATAGAAAAGATAAACATTGGTCTTAACTGGATTTGTAACGCAAGAATCGCATTAATTATGGAAATAACCAAACCGTCACACGGTTAGGCCAGTATACGGATTTAATGTTTCGATTTACTTAAACTGAAATAGTGAACGCCCCAAAAATGAAATACAGTACATTATATACCTAAAAACAGAGGCAAAACAATAAGGTACTATAATAGACGTGACAACAGATTGTTATCACGTTCAGGAGTTTTGTCAGCAACCAAATACTGTACATTACCGTACTGATTTTCAAAATGAGCAATATACTGTAAAATTTAAAAGGAAAAAGACGATACAAAATTAACGAAATTTGTATCAAGCATCCGAGCGTTTACTCATAAAATGGTAGGCCTATTTGTCGTTTGGTGACAATTTGTATTCTAGGAGTGATGTTTTACCCTACCTGACGAGTTTTTATACCGAATACTCAGTACGTTCCCAAATACTCACGAAAAACTTTCGCAAATGATTCGGGTGGGAACGTAAGCATTCGGTATGAATGTGCCCTAACGCATATATTCATACCATCCCCCGCCGATCACAAGTCTGGATGCAAACCCATTATGAAATCGAATATTGTACAATTTAATATTTTTTACTCATTTCATTTCATTTATTTCTCTTAAAAAAATATACAAGACAATAACACACAGACGCAATGAGAAAAAACAAGAGAGAGAGGAAAACCAAAAAGCGAACTTAATCAACTATTGAATGGATTCCCCAATACTGTACATATAAAAATATTGGATTAGATTGAATTGGATATATCCGGTGTAAACACCAAGGATAGCCCACGAAAATCTAGACTTATTTCCAGTGGGGTCCTTCTGGTGGTGATTGGGCAGTACACCGGGAGACAACCTCCTACTCTTTTCTGAAGAGTGTACTGCGTTTTTTAACGTACACATGGGCCATAAATGCACATGGAACCAACGGCTTAAACGTCTCATCCGAAAGACGGTGCGCTGAAACACAAGGAGAGGCACCGATGGGAATTGAAACGATGGGACCTACATATCCCCACAGTTCAGCGCACACGCCGTGGCTACCACCAGATTAGCCGACTGAGCTAAGCTGCTCTCCCAATATATTACATCTATCAACAAAAAAGATAAAATATAAATCATTTGTCAGAAATTGAAGAAATTAATAATTTAAGACATTGTAATTACTGAATTAATCCATAGTGCTATCCCCGACGGGCACCATCCTGGTGCTAAGTCTACGTTTCGGGGCAGGAATATTGATTACTAATGTATATCTGTATGTTTACGTTTACGTGGTTTAATCTTGCAAAAGACTAATAATAATAATAGGTCCCGTCAATTTACTAATTAATCTATATATGCGGTATATCTGCTTCAACCGAACACTCGGAGTCTACGTTTGGTGACCGGAATATACGGTACGATAATGATACTTATGGAAAGTAATAGTATCAACATAAAACAAATGAACATTAAAGAGAAACTAACCGAAACAGACCATTATAATATTTAGCGTTTGGGTTGATAAATGTATCATCATCTCCGATATTATTCACTTCCAAATTTATTTCAATGGGTGACCCTCTCAGTGAAAACACTTCTCTTCCGAAGAGCCGTACATACATTAAAATCTACCGGGGAATCTAGAGACGAAAATAAACTAAATCTTAATCTATTATCTTTTGAATTTGGAGTAAAAGACTGTCTGGTACGATTTCAATTAAACTTGTCGAATTCGGCTTGAGCCATTACTAACTTGATATTCACGCTCTGGATGAGAAAGTACTATGCACTTGAATTGTATTCAGTTTTAAATTACCGTAAGTGTCATGTGATGCTTTTCCTTTTGGTAGGTCCCTATTAAGATGAACATAAGAACTCTTAAAAACAAAACTATCATACTGCCTTTGATCTGTTCTACTGACAACTTATTAAATCACTATATTGAACATACACTTTCATATCAGCGGCACACATCAAAATGATGGAGCGTTCACTTACAATTTACAAAAGAAATACATCAAGAGACTTAAAAAAAATTAATCTAAACTAAATAAAAATTAAATACAGTACAAAAAACCATGTTACGAATTCTGACAAAATATTTTTAAAAATGCTGTTTCATACAGTACTAATTTCTCTATGTTCCGTAACAGTGTTAGAAATGTTTTACATATTAGCCCACTTAATCTGACATTATTATTATTATTATTATTATTATTATTATTATTATTATTATTATTATTATTATTATTACTCTAAATTGGTAAGTACAAGGGAGTATAGAAGTTAAAACAAGTCATCTATTATTTATTTATTTAATTATTGGAATCATATTTAAATGAGGGTAAACTATTCAGCAGAAGCTTACGGTATCATTTGGGACCCTCAACATGTAACAATACAAATTACAGAAAACTACTTAACTACAAATCTAAATCAGAAAATAACAAAATAATAGCATTGATCTATCAAAGCTAGTAAAGTGTCCTTATAATAACGGTACAACTTGGATTGTAGAATCATAAATTAAATATATATCGAAAGGTCCACTGATTAATCTCAGATAAGACATACTCCAAGTATCGATGCACGCCATCGTGTCGGGATTTGAATCCATGGCGTGCATTTCGATACTTGGAGTATGTATTATACTATCTTAAATATATATTTATAAAGTAAACTTCAATGCTCAGGTTGATGCAACCTTGTGTTGTGTTAACGTATTTTTTAAATAACCTAACTACAACGTTTCATTTATTTTTTCAGCTTTATTTACTAAGGGTGACTCAAAACAGCGGTAAGCTGACGATCATGGGCCCTCACATTAAAAACGTTACAACAATCACATAAACTTTAAAGGCCTAGGTAATAAATAAAAAGAGAGTATTATACAATATGAATTACGTTCACAACGCTTTGCGAATAATAATAACGTTTTGCGTTTGTTGGGATTTCACGTTGAACCTGCGGTAAAATGTACGCGTAAGATATTTCACAATACGTTCTTGAATGATGCTTTCAAATACATTTTTACAAACAAGATAGAGGCAATTTATCTTCGGCTGACATTCAAAATAATACAAAGTATAATAAAAATAGTAACGCTCGTTATTAATAGGCTGTGGGCATCCGAAGTGAATGTTTTCCGACAAGCTTCGGTACTATTAATACAAAGAATATATTATTATACATCAGTGGCCTTCGAAGATTGGTCTTCACAAAAGAAGGAACCAATTTAAAAAGTCAGTTGGGGAAAAAAATAATACTTAACAAGTAATTTAAGTTTGGCATCTTCAGGGTTTTCTTTTTGTGATGTCAGCGAATGAGATATTGACACGTCTTGTTTGTCATTTAATGCCTTCCGACCTTTACATAATAATTATGTAGTCTTCTGACTCTTGATGATGGCAGCAAACATATCCTAATTTCATAGACCTAAATTTAGATCAACTGGTGTTGAAATTGATGCGATACTAGGCTTAATAATCATGGAATTTTTGAAAAAAAAAAACGCTTTAATTACCTTCACAGAGAGGGTGAATTCGTTTCTTTTTTATTATTATTATTATTTGTAAATGTGTCTTTTTCGGGTCTTCATTCCTCATAACTCTCGATTTTAGTTAATATCTGTGTTACTGTAATAATCGCAAGCTGAATTTGATATAAAATTACTTTTTTTTGAAGTTATACTGTATGAGCTAAATATTTTTAAACAAATTCAATATTTGCATTGGTTATTTTGTTTTTTTCCAAATAAAAAACTATCAGATCAACTCACTATAAAAAAAAATCATAATTTGGAATTAAGGTCTCATGCCAAACACTTGGGCATTAACGATTGTGAACAAATATACTCATTACCTTTTACGAAGAAGTGACGTTTCTTTCGTATTTGAAATTTGGTGACATACTCGTATACGATGACGTATTCGTATTAATCGTCTCCTTATTCGGTGATTTAATCGTATTTCTTATCTTTTAAAGTTGAGAAAACTAATATTCATTCAAGTTTAGGGAGACTTTTTTATACCTTGTTTCGCGAACTTATTTTTTTAATGTCGTCAGAGGACGGCGGAAAAAATAAAAATATAATTTAGTTTTCTTATTTGGCAAATAGTTTTGCCAAAAACATCCAGACGGAGAAGGCAATAAAAATATAAATTTATTGTTGAATGTATACGAGTAGTAATGGCATGGTTAAAGATGTACTATCAGTCAAAAAGACAGAAAAAATACCTCAAAAAGTTAATTTTTAACAGCTCATTTAAAAGGATCACAGTTTATTAGCTTCCACCAAGAAAGAGATCAAAAAAAAGTTTTAGTACATAAATGGTAATAGATTACCAGCCAATTTAAGGAGCTATGCAAATTAATAAAAAAAAGTTATCATCTAACTGTCCAAACAATTGTCTGGGAAATTGTTACATTGAAGTTAATAACGTACTTAAATACACAAATTAAGCAATTCAAATGTGAAATTATAATTTTAAGTTTTCTACCTCATGACTGATATTACATCTTTAAATGCTTTAAATTTACATAATTAGGAAGAAATATACATATTTTTGGAGATTTCAAGGGAGAAGCGAGCATAAAAAAAATAAGGAAAACATTTTTTTTGGTGGTGGGTGTACTAATTGGCCAAAAAATAAAATTCTATCTTTATTTGAAATCATAATTTGGCAGGTGGCGGGTTCGTTAAACATAGTATAAAAAAGTATCGTGTTAGAAACCAACGAAAACTCTCACAGAAAATAAATTAACATATTTCATCATTATAGTATATCATTATGCTTGTTGATCAGCAATATAATATAAAAAGATAAATAACTACATACTGTAAAATTTCTAAAAAATCAATTTAGTTCGACAGAAATAATTACCGAGTTAATTAGATTTCATACAACCCTACTTATTGCAAAATCACTGACAAACATACTTTCTATTATTCAATAAAAAAGACAACAGGACAAAGACAAAAAATATTGATTATTTTCATTATCTTCAAAAACAAACTGTCATGTGTATTGTTATATTAAGTAATGTGGGATGCATTTGTGAACAAATATACTCTTTACTTTTGAACTCCACAAACACTTCAATAAAAAAGATAGAAGCATAACATACTGTATAAACAAATAAAGAAAAAATTATCCAATAAAAATCATTAGGTCACAGATTTAAGACTATGGTTCTTTATTTTTATTGCCTTTTATTATATTCAATACAACATACTAATTTCTAAAGTGTTTCATAAAATAAAAACAATAACAAAAATGAATAGGATACAATAAAATGTATCAAATTTTGATAAATAAATAAAAAAATAAAGAATGCTTTACCTTATATGACACCCCACCCCCACCTCTTATAACCTCTATAGGAAGGCTATAATTAGCCTCAAGACAATTATTATGCAGAAAGGGCCCCAAATTACCAGCTCTCTACTCCCCATACCTCATACAAAGGCCTGGCTATAGTCCCGACCATGGTGGAGCACAATGGGAAAAGTGAGGTGGTGCTAACCAGTGGTGGCTCTAGGATACATTTTCTGGGGGGAGGGGTGGGGCTAAGCTGTCTGACACGGGGGCTTGAGTCTGAGTGCCCAAGGAGTGGGAGAATTTGGGAGAGATGTCCAGTCCCAAATAAGATTTTTAAAAAAAATAGGAAATTCTGGATGGCCGGAAATGGCACTCTATGCCTATCTTTACATTTTTTTTTTGGTCCGGCTGCCAGATGAATTCGGCCGGTGGAGGGGGCTTGACTGATCAAAGGCTTAAGCCCCAGGCACCCCCCCCCCACCGCTGGTGCTGCCACTGGTGCTAACTGGAGGTATGAGGCTATATGAGATTTATTTTTAATGACTTGAGTGTATTTGTTTGCTCAAAAAGAATTTTAATGGAGGCGCAAACTTTTTCTGGGGGTGCACATTCTTTCAATCTTCGATACATTATTATGAATTAACTGCACTAAAGATTTCGTAAATATATATTTTTATATATAATAGATTCAATTAACATAATAATTACTATAGCAAGTTCTATTTGCTATAACTCTTGAATAAGTTACTGTACTGTACTAATAAAACAACATTTTTGCAAAATTAGTTTGAATAGGATCATTACGATAAAAACAAATTGAAAAATGAATGATAAAATGTCCATTTTGGACATCAACTCTGTGATGGCTTAAACAGGAACTTTTAACTGCACAAAAACACCTTGATCTAATATAAAAATCTAAAATGCTGTAACTTCAGGGCCCAGACCCTCACTTGTGCCTAGACACTTGACCCCATTGTTGGGGGCCTGGCAGCTGCACAGTCCAATTCACATGGCAGCTCTTGGCATGGCAGCCCCTGCCTGGTCACGTCATACTCTAGGACCTTTAATTCAACACAAACCTTATGAATACAATCAACTCAATAAGTAAGTTTAAAAAAAAATGATTTGGCACCTTGTTATAGACCCCAATATCTTAATTGCAGCTGGCTTATACTTAAGCAACAGTAAACCATTACAGAAAATAATGGAGATGTTTCCAATGCAACAATATCCTTGTGAACATCGTCAGGCACCATCACAATCACATTGCATGTGTAACCATTGGCAACGAACAAACATCAGTTACCAATCTACTGCGTACGAAGGCTGGCTTTGAGAAATAATCTATATTTAATGTTGGCATCGATGGAATAGCATGGGATTTAAATACATATTGGACTGTAGAATCGCAATCATTTTTCAGAGGCAGATGATGATGAAGATGTCCTTATTTTTGTTGACTTCTTTAGATGATGATAATTTGGAAGTATCTTCATCAGGAAATCCAGTTGTAATGTTTGAGGCTAGAAAATTAAAGAGAAAGAAAAAAAATCATTACATGTATCATCAATCATTTTACAAAGTGAAAAAAATTATCTGATTGTGATAAAAAAATGAAAAAAATTATTTTGTTGTGAAATAAAAAAAAAAAAAAAAAGGTCAATGCATTTTGTCCTTAAAGGTTTCCATATTTTGCATTTATTTATATATTATGAACATAAAATACAAATGAAATATTGCAAAAAATGGGAGAAATTTGAATACAAGGACTTAAAGTTGGACTCCGGAGAAAAATATTACTGTGATATGTTGTATAACTGATTTGTCTGGGACAGAAAGAAGTTGTTGATGAAAAACTGGAGGGCCGGTGAATGAGATACAGATTTTTGAATATTCAAAAAGGGGGGGGGGGGGGAAGGTGTTAAAAAAGGGGGCTACGCCTCTCTTTTTCCCAAGTTATTGAATATTCAAAAATTTGTATCTCATTCACTGTTTTCTTCAAACAACTTTTTTCTGCCTTAGAAAAATTAGTTCTACAACATATCATAAAATTTGTTTCCTCCAGAGCCTGACTTTAAATCTAGTGGTCCGGATGTCCTACTGATTAACTAGACGACATACCATAAAACCTTCAATAGAAGCCCTGGGCCTTTTTTTTTCTTGCAAACTTTGGATGGGTTTCTTTTTGATGTGGGCCTCTTTTTAAGGCTACATTTGAAAAGTAAAGAGGGGGAGGGGGGCTTCTTTTCAAAATGAATGCTGCAAATTTTGGGAATTACTACTATAAAACAATAAATAGGCGCACTGTAACATCAGCCAATATCATGGAGTGTATTAACTGGCATTAAATTATTTAAACTACTGTATAAACCAAGCATGTTTTAAATTTATTTTGTTTCTTTGAAATTCATGTACAGTGTATGTATTGTACTATCTCGAAAAGAAGCCCATGCTATCTTGAGAAAGAGCCAATGGCCTTCTTTCCAAGACTACTTTTGCAAACTAAAGAGGGGGGGGGGAGGGGCTTCAATTCAAGATGGGCACCTTCGAGATTAATCCCTTTGAGCTTCTATTCGAGGTCTTACAATATCCTGAATCTTCAACTTTAAAGGCCTCTTTACACTATGACGATGATGATCAACGATAAAAAGCTAAAAAGCAATTGTTCATATAGAAGGTAACAGAAATAAGAGTTTTCACAATAGCACAATTCAATAATAATAAAATTGAAGTAGTTGAAACGATTTTATCGTTTTCCCATGATTATGACGTCATTTGATTTGTACAATTATTTTTTTATCGTATAAACGATAAAGCATTATTATCGAATCGTGCTGGTGTGAAAACTTTTCTTATTTCTTTTATTTTCTATATGAACAATTGCCTTTTAGCTTTTTATTGTTGATCGTTATCATCATAGTGTAAACAGGCCTTAAAGGATGGGATTCTTAAAAAGAGTGATAGGGACTTCCAAACTGCTGCTGGAAGACTGTACAAGAGTAGGGGAGTGGCAACAGACATTGACCTATTAGATGCGATGGTGGACAGAGCCGCTATCCATATCCCTCCCTCAGTGACGGACACAGGATTTAAAGTTAGTGGGAGCAAGAGCTAATACCCATTCCAGACCCCACCATAGTTTGATGAAGCAATGGAGCAATAACAAAAATCTGGTGTGATTATGCAAATCTAAAAATCTTGGAGTTAATAGCAAGTACTGTTATCTAATTCATAACTATTTCCTTAAAATTGGGAATAATACTGACTCATTCTATATTTTATAAAATGTATCATGATTCCATAACTAAAAGTCAATTAAAAGTACAGATATGCTAAATTGCCAACAATCATATTGAAATGCAATATGTTTTGATGTTTTTGAGAGAAATTTTTATCATTAAGGTCTCATGACTAAAGGTAAGGCAGCTGAATACATTTAATTTGCATAATAATACAGAAGGCCAGATGGAAGGATCCTCATTAACAATAGCAGGAAGATAGAGAACCAATTAAACTAGAGTATCCATCCATATTCAACATACAAAAACAGTAAAATGATCATGAACCGGCCAAGAAAAATTAGAACGCAGATTTATGATCCAAACTCTAGTTTCAAATTTTTCTGTAAATGTTAAATTTCCTCTTAGATGCAACAACACGCTTGAAATATGACACTTTGACATATCATCATTCATTGTTTAATGTTGTCATGGAAACATAAGCCATCACTGAACTACATAAAGTCTTCAAATCCTATTTTAAATAATTGTAGAATAAAATCATAATTATTTCAGATAAAATAGATCATGTTCATTATGTAAATGTTGAACAGAATACAAGCATATTGACCTTATTGTCAAGTTGGAAATTGGCATCAATCAAATCTTTAAAAGTACTTTACATTTATAAAAAGTTGAAATCCTATATTTAACAAGCTTTACTATTACAAATATATACAATAATACTGTATATTCAAGATATAATATCGGTATTAGGCGTATATCTTAAAAATAAAATGCGTAATTTGAATTGCTGAATTGATACAAGTTATTAGCTTATATTAAAAATTAGAATGAGAAAATATTTTGCTTGCAAAATTAATTAGTGCACAATCGTATTCCAATACTATGTACATACAAGTTGATTGGTTGAGTGGTTAAGGCAGGGGTGCTGCAACCTAAAGCCATAATATTGACGCTGGTTTGAGCGGCAGGCTTGTCTATGGTTCTGGTGGTCAAACAAGTCTTCTCAGATAAGGACTATAAGCCATAGCCCCAGTGTACACATTTAGGTAGACATTGAAATGTAAATTTATGTGAGGGCATTCTCATCTTCAAGATAAAATATATACAGTAGTTGATACAAATATTTACCAAATAGTAGTCAAAAGTATAATGCAGAAAATAATGGATGGCAAAAAATAAATGCTGAAATGTGGGAAATAGCAAAACAATTTAAAAGAAGGTTTAGGGACAGGGCATAATATCTCAAAGACAGGCGAACATAATTAAGCTATATCAAGTTATGTTTAATAAGGCAAGACAATGTTTTTATACCTTGTTAAGCAAACTTTAAGTGGCAATTTGGCGCAACAGTTGAGGTTTGGGCTTTCAATCATAAGGTTGGGGTTTCGAGTCTCCGCTTTGCAGATTCGCTTGTGTCCTTGGGCAAGGCACTTTAGCTACATTGCTTCAATCCACCCAACTGTATCAATAGGTACCAGCAAACTGCTGGGGACTAACCTGCGATGGACTAGTGTCCCGTCCAGGGGGAGTACAACTCTCATCCTCTTCACACTACAGAAACTGGGGATAACCTCCAGCCCTATGAGCCCTAGTGGCTCGGAAAGGATTTAGTAGTAGTAGTAAGCAAACTTTATTTGAGAGGTTGTCCAAATGTATACCAATACAAATAAGGATGGAAAACACTGCAATATAAGAACTTACTATGAGCAGATCATGGAAGAAAGAGTGAAGGAGTAAATGATATGGTAGAGACTATGGAGTATTTTATTGTACATCTTTACATTCTAACCAATTTTGATAGTTTTCAAAATGATATTTATTTATAAGAACAACAAATTTCCATAAATGAAATTTCCAAATTCCATGCAATAAAGTGAGTCTGAGTCTGAGACTCTAAAGGCTACTTGAATGAGAAAAACACCCCTGTCTCTACAGACACCATAATGAATCACATGATGAATATCATTGCATTTTTAGCATAATCTGTTTTGCGACCGCTTTGCATTATTTAAACTCATCTGCAACGCCAAAGGAAAACATAATTTTCCATTGTTAATTTATGTTGCAATAGTGAGTGTATCCATGGTTATCAAAATAACCTTTATACAAAAGTATTAAATACAGATGAGGAGAGGGAGAACATTGCGATTGTAGGGCTTGAGCAGATGATGGATGAATGCGAGCGAAGGAAGAGCTAGTGTAAAAAAAAATTGAACGATATAGCAGATAAACCTTTGGTAGTAAAAAGGCTATTGGAAAATAAAAACATCCTAGTTTTTAAAGGCAATGGAACACATGATGAATACATTAAGAATGCCATTGAATAATCTGTTTTGAAAATGCATTAAGTAAGTAGCACATCCACAAACTACTCTCCGATACAGTATGATAAACAGGCTCAACAGTTGAGGAATAAAATTGTTTTATGTCGCCCATATTTTCTCTTTTATTATAATTTTCACTATAATAAATCATTAATATCGGCACTATAAATTCAAAAAAAGCGATTTAACGATAAAGAAGGCTTAATACATCTATTTATGCGTTGTGCATTATTTTATTGAAAGTATGGGAGATTTTGTTGTGCGTATTGAACGTTAACCAACAAGAAGTATGGAAGTAGGGGAACAATTAGACTCAGGCTATTCAGATAAGAAGTAAACAAGACTCTCACAATCATCATGATGGAAAAACACAACTCGTTTTAGTAATCAACATCTGCCCCGACTAACATATGGCTCCAAGCATTATGCTAACTAACCCTAATGAAATCCAATCCACTTGCCGCCTGAATTAAGTATTCATTCATAAAAAATTCAGGTGTTTAGTAAGTAGAATAAAGATGGAAGATTCATAGAAACGTTATCATCTCAATGATAGGGCTTATGAATCCTTAATGCGGGATAAAGATTGTCTAGAGTGCTATCCTCGCTAACATGGTAATTAATTTAACGTACATGCATTCATCCTTCTATTTCTATTGAAAAATTAATCACCATGAGATACAAAACCTGGCACTGGATGTTATTCATTTGTTGTGTACATTATATAATTTTCATTTTACACCTTTAATCAAAATTTGTAATCGTTTGAAGATCATTGGAGCCATGGTATGAAATACACAATCCTATTAATATTTTTTACTATCTTATACACCATCATCAAATTGTTAACATTAAACCTGTTGATCATTAGGATGAGTCAGTGGTGACCCCAGGATTTGCACGATAGGGGCTTGTGTCTGTGGCGTAAGTTCAAGTAGGCTAGGCTAGGGCATT